CTAATGCTGCTTGGCCTGCTGTGTTCATCCAGCTCTACGCCTTGGTGTACCTCAGATTCTCCAGCATCTGCAGTTCCTACTATCTCTACTTCCTTTATCTTCTGGGTTTCCTAATTTTTACTGTTAATCTGACATTTTGCTCTTGCTTTCTGTACCTGATGCGGTATTGATTTTACTCTAAGTTTATGCTGTGTTACTCATTAATGATTCTTCAATTTGCTTGATGGAGTTATTCAAGCACTTGCTCTGTTCATATAGGTCCGAGGATAGCTAATTGACTGACTTAGATGCAATTTAACACAGAACCGTAAAAAAGAGCCCATGGACAAATGCATTTGTTGCTGTCAGCAAAATCTAGCCCAATAGCTTTCTAATTAAAATTTTAAATTAGATATATTTTAAGAGATGTGCATGTTAGAATGAAAATTATTAAATGCTAATATTATAAATGATCTATTTTTTTAAAAAGAAATTGCAATCTAGGTATAAGCAAATGTTATCCAGTATGCTTTTGTAATTCCAGTGAGCCAGTGGGAAAGGCTTAAAAACATATGGTTTCATGATCTGATGAGGTTGAGAATTTAGCAAGTAATTATGGGACCCAATAAGGGATAATACCTATTTCATATCTGACTTTTTTTTTTTGCATAGAGAAAAGACAACATCATTTCCTTGAATTGAGTTTATGAAGCAGTCTCTGATGCAAAATATTGTGGTGAATTAATATATTCTTAAAGCATAATAAATGTTCCAAATGACTATAAATAAAAAAAGCCTAAGGTAAATACAATTTGTAAAAGCTTGCGATTGTGTGATTGAATAAAAAGCTATTAAATCAGATTATATTGCCGCTTGTGCAGAGTTTCTAAAAAAAAAACCTATTTGTTTGAATGAATGTTACATGTTTCAAATTGTCATAACTTTTCAGCACCCTGGTAGAGGCATAGACATGAGGAAGCGGAAAATTTGGAATATGTATGGTCCACAGACATGTCTCAAGGTAAGAAAAAAATATATACCTGTGTTTCTTGAATTCTACTTGCACATTAACTGCAAAGCTGTGCTGCTTTCTACTGTAATAACATAAAGGTTGCATTAATGGGAATCATCATTGGTAGATGGATCAAAAATGGTGCATGTGGATAAACACAATATTGATATTATTTAGCTACTTTAACATTTAGAGACAGACAGTGTACACTACTCCAGATGTGGTCTCACCAACATCTTTATAAGTGAGGCATAACCTCTTTTTTTCTCATTTCCCTTCACAAGAACATTCTCTTAGTTTTCCTAATTATTTGTTGTACCTATGTTCAAATATTTTCTGATTCATGCACTAGGATACCCAGGTCCCTGAGCACCTTAAAGCTTTGTAATTTCACACCTTCTTCAATAATATGCTTCTTGCCAAATGGACATTGAGTTTCCCACATGCTTCACTTACTAGATCCTTTCCCAGTTGTGTAACCGATCCATATCCCTTCTTTAATCTGTGTGTGTCCTTTTTAGAACATACTTTCCAACTTCATTTTGCATCATTGGCAAACTTATCAATCATACCTTTGCTCCTTTCATCCAAGTCACTTGTATAATTTGTAAAAAAAAAAAAGAAAAAAATTGAGGTCCTAACACTGATCCCTCAGGCGTACTACTTGTCACATCTTGCCAACCAGAAAATAACCCCTTTACAATTACTTTTCTGCCAGTCAATCTTTTATCCATGCCAGTATGTTAGCCCCTCACTCCAAAGCTTTTATCAGACTTTCATATGTCTCATCAAGTGCTATCTCCATCTCCTGGTTCGATTAATCCATAGCACGTATGGATACGTTGAACGAGTGGGCAAAAATCTGGCAGATGCAGTGTAACATGAAGTTATTTTGCCAGGAAGAATTAAAAGCAATGTTTGACTTAGAGTTCTGCGGTTGCTCTCCATTTAAAATGCAGAGAGATTTAAGTTTTCTGATGCATTAATCACAAAAAAGTATACACGTACAACACATAATTAAGAAGTTTAATGGAATGTTATCCTTTAGAACAAGAAGAAAGAACAAAGAAAATTACAGCACAGGAACAGGCCCTTTAGCCCTCCAAGCCTGCGCCGATCCAGATCCTCTATCTAAACCTGTCATGTATTTTCCAAGGACCTGTATCTCTCTGCTCCCTGCCCATTCATGTATCTGTCTATAATTACCCGGCAACGCGTTCCAGGTACCGACCACCCTCTTAGTAAAGAACTTTCCACGCGTATCTCCCTTAAACTTTTCCCATCACCTTGAGATCATGACCCCTAGTAATTAAGCCCCCCACTCTGGGGGGGAGAAAGCTTCTTGCTATCCACCCTGTCTATACCTCTAATGATTTTGTAGACCTCAATCGGGTCCCCCCTCAGCCTATGTCTTTCTAATGTAAATAATCCTAATCTACTCAACCTCTCTTCATAGCTAGCGCCCTCCATACCAGGCAACATCCTGGTGAACCTCCTCTGCACCCTCTCCAAAGCATCCACATCCTTTTGGTAATGTGGCGACCAGAACTGTATGCAGTGTTCCAAATGTGGTCAAACCAAAGTCCTATACAGCTGTAACATGACCTGCCAACTCTTGTACTCAATACCCCATCCAGTGAATGAAAGCATGCCATATGCCTTCTTGACCACTCTATCAACCTGCGTTGCCACCTTCAGGGTACAATGGACCTGAACACCCAGATCTCTGTGCATCAATTTTCCCCAAAGCTTTTCCATTTACTGTATAGTTCACTCTTGAATTGGATCTTCCAAAACGCATCACCTCGCATTTGCCTGGATTGAACTCCATCTGCCATTTCTCCGCCCAACTCTCCAATCTATCAATATTCTGCTGCGTTCTCCGACAGTCCCCTTCACTATCTGCTACTCCACCAATCTTAGTGTCATCTGCAAACTTGCTAATCAGACCATCTATACCTTCCTCCAGATCATTTATGTATATCACAAAAACAGCGGTCCCAACACGGATCCCTGTGGAACACCACTGGTCACAGTTCTCCATTTTGAGAAATTCCCTTCCACTACAACTCTGTCTCCTGTTGCCCAGCCAGTTCTCTATACATCTAGCTAGTACACCCTGGACCCCATGCGACTTCACTTTCTCCATCAGCCTGCCGTGGGGCACCTTATCAAACGCCTTACTGAAGTCCATGTATATGACATCTACAGCCCTTCCCTCATCTATCAACTTTGTCACTTCCTCAAGGAATTCTATCAAGTTGGTAAGACATGACCTTCCCTGCACAAAACCATGCTGCCTATCACTAATAAGCCCATTTTCTTCCAAATGTAAATAGATCCTGTCCTTCAGTATCTTCTCCAGCAGCTTCCCCACCACTGACGTCAGGCTCACCGGTCTATAATTACCTGGATTATCCTTGCTACCCTTCTTAAACAAGGGGACAACATTAGCAATTCTCCAGTCCTCCAGGACTTCACCCGTGCTCCAGGATGCTGCAAAGATATCTGTTAAGGCCCCAGCTATTTCCTCTCTCACTTCCCTCAGTAACCTGGGATAGATCCCATCCGGACCTGGGGACTTGTCCACCCCAATGCCTTTTCGAATACCCAACACTTCCCCCCCCCTTATGCCGACTTGACCTAGAGTAGTCAAACATCTATCTCTAACCTCAACATCTGTCATACCCCTCTCCTCGGTGAATACTGACGCAAAGTACTCATTAAGAATCTCACTCATTTTCTCTGATCCTTGCATAACTTACCTCCTTTGTCCTTGAGTGGGCCAACCCTTTCTCTTGTTACCCTCTTGCTCCTTATGTACGAATAAAAGGCTTTGGGATTTTCCTTATACCTGTTTGCTAAAGATATTTCATGACCCCTTTTAGCCCTCTTAATTCCTCGTTTCAGATTGGTCCTACTTTCCCAATATTCTTCCAAAGCTTCGTCTGTTTTCAGTCGCCTAGACCTTATGTATGCTTTCTTTTTGCTCTTTGCTAGTCTCACAATTTCACCTGTCATCCATGGTTCCCTAATCTTGCCCTTTCTATCCCTCATTTTCACAGGGACATGTTTGTCCTGCACTCTAATCACTTCTCTTTAAAAGCCTCCCACATATCAAGTGTGGATTTACCCTCAAACAGTTGCTCCCAATCCACATTCCCCAGCTCCTGTCGAATCTTGCTATAGTTGGCCTTCCCCCAATTTAGCACTCTTCCTTTAGGACCACTCTCGTCTTTATTTAAGGAAGAATGTAAATGCACTGGAGGTAGTTCAGAGGAGGTCTTCTAGATTAACATCTGGAATGAACAGATGTTCTCAAGAATGGTTGGACAGGTTGGGCCTGTGTCCATTGGAGCTTTGAAGAGAAAGGGGTGACTTGGTTGAAGTATCTAAGAACCTGAATGGTCTTTATAACGTGGACATGAAAGGATGCTTCCTTTTCTGGTTCAGCCCAGAGCTAGGGGAGTTCTGTTTTAAAATTAGGGGTAACCATTTAAGTACAGAAATGAGAAATGTTTTTTCTCACTTGCATGACTTGGAACTCACTGTCTCTGAAGATGGTATAGGTGGGTCATTGAATATTTTTGAGAGATTCTTGTTGGCATTAGAATTGTGGATCATTCAAAGTAGATGAGAATGTGGAATTCTAAACTTGAGCAGATCAGCCATAATCTCAATCAATGACATAGCAGGCTGGAATGGCCTGCTACTGCTTTTATTTCATATATACATGTCACTTACCCAAAGAACTCATATCTTGGTTAACATGTTTCCCTTGACGTTATGTAAGTGCCCTGCAATATAAACTAACTGTCCTGTAGTTTTTTGCCTTCAGTTTTCCTCCCTTTTTGAATAAAGGTTTACTCTTAAAATAGATAGTCGCAAATATCTGTTCTACAAATGAAGAGAATTTTGAAAAGTTTACACTGTTAACCTTAACTGCGCCATTAGCTATTTTTTTTAAGACTCTAGGATGGAATTCTTCCGGATCCATAGACTTGTCAACCTACAGCACCTAGAGTGTCATTTCCTTACTTATTGTAATTTTGAGCTCTTTCCTCCCTCCTCCTCCCTGATTTATAGCTATTTCTGAAATTTTATTTGTATTTGCTACATTGAAGACCAAGGCAAATAATCAGTTAAGTACATCTGCCTCTCCTTTTTTTTTTGTTATTAATTCCTCAGACTCACTTTCTATAGAACAAACATTTTCTTCTTTCTGTAAGTCTATAGCAGCTCTTGTTATGTATTTGGTATTTCTAGCTAACTTTCTCCTGTATTATAATTTTACTTTGCTTTCAATTTTTTAAACTATTTTTGCTCTTATGTTCTGTGCAACTTTCTGACTTGCCATCTATTTTTGTGCAATTAAATGCTTTTGCTTTAAGTTTGAATTTTTTTAACCATTTTTCTTAATTCATTATGGATGGTGGATCCTTTGGAATTTTTCTTTCTTATTGAAATCTATATCTAAACAGTGCCTGAAATATTTTCCATCGTATCTGTAGTGACATCACATAACTTAATTTGCCATTTCATTTTCAATCCTTCTCCTTCTGTTCCCCCTCCAACACACGCGAACACACATGCACAAAGTGACACGCATGCGCACTGAATGCTGGCCGACGCACCATGCCCCCACACCTCCCCCCCGACCCCACGTACCTGTCCTGGATCCGCTTGTAAGACTCTCAAATCGAATGTGAAATGCAATCATTATGATTGCTGTTACCAGGGCTCCCCATGCTCACAAGGTCACTAATGAATTCTATCCTCTGCACAAAACAAGGACTAGTGTAGCCTATGTCCTGCTTAGTTTCTGTGAACAGCATGTCTGAAACTATCTTGAAAGCGTTCCATGAATGCCCCATCTCGGCTACGTGTGTGCATCTAATTGTTCTGGTCCACGTTTGAGTTAAGATCCTGCTTAATTCCACTGTACCTTTCTGACAAGTACCTGTTATTCCTTTGTATTTCTTTGATTTCTTCCCGTTAACGTTTCTCAACTCTACTCAAATTGTTCCTACATCCTGCTTTCCTGAAATTAGATCGTACCTGTTTGTGTTATTTAAATAACCAAGTCATCCCGCCACCTTTTCTGAGCTTCCTATCATTCTAAAAGACCTCTACCTTTCAATATTCAGGTCCCAATTTGCCAACCTGTTGCTTTGTCTCTGTAAAAGCTATCAGATTGTAATTTTTTTTTTGCTTTATAGTTCATATGTTTTCTTCCAAATCCTATGTACATGCAGTTACATAGGCTTTAGTTTGTTCTTTTTTCATTTTTGTAACCTTGAGCCTTACATGTGGATTTTCTGTTTGATTTTTACTTCCTATCCCTTCCTGTCACAGTCAATCAATCTTCCATATAAAACCTTTTATGTTTTGCCTTTTCTCTGTAATTTGTAAGGACCTTTTTGCAATATCAGTTTGGTTCATCTTTAAGTTAGTTACCATTCTTAAAAAAAAAAAGCATTAAAATGGCAATTTCTCTATAGAAAATTGAAAGTTGTCAGATTGTCTGCTGAAGTACATTACTGAGGCAGATTGGAGGAAGCTTCAACCCACTACTGTGCTTTAGTAGAGAGTGTTTAAAGCTGATGCATTGTATCTGGAAGTGTTCCATTTTCATTAACTTCCGTCTCACTGAGCTCAAAATTTGTCAACCTTATTTAAAAGAAGTTCCTTGACACGGTGAAAAAGAGCTAAGTCAAATATTGTAGTTCTAAGAAAATGGATCCTTAACATTGCCCGCAAGACTGGTATTTATTGCTAATTCTTGGTTGTTATTTGATATGCTTCAAAAGGTGGATGATTAAGAATGAACCGCATTGCTGTGAAACTAAAGGTGGTTTTTGCCACTCAAGGTAAAGTGGTGAATCCAGTTTGTACGCTGTAAAAGAGGAGAACTGACTTGAGAATATAATTCTTAGTAACCAGAGTGGAATACCTGATTGGAAAGAGTAAAGTATCAGAAATTATTCACCTATATCCTAGATTTTCCATTTCAGTTGCCTGTTCTCTTAGCCACAAAAAAGGCTTAGTGGATAGTTCTTCAGGAGTTATTCTGCTAGCTTTTCATTTTCCTTTACTACTTCCAGGATTTTCTGTAAGTAACATAAGACATAAAATGAATCTAATATGGCAGGCCTACCATACTTGCAATCAAATTTTAGCCAGTCTATGTTAAAGTAAATCCAGATACAAAAAAACACACTTTGCCATTGATGACACAGGATCATTTAAATTTTCCAGAGTCGTCAAAGCCAAGCAGTTTGTGTTAGCAAAATCAATTATCTAATTGTGGTGCTTTATAAAAGGCAAATTTCAAAGTGTTTTGGCAAACTGCTCACATGCCAGTGGCCTGCGGGAGCTAAACTCTATCCCACGCATTGCAAGCAGGTTTACAACAAAGTCTGGTAACCTGAAAATTGTAAATTACTCTAATCTTGGAAAATTAGCATCCTTCTGATAGGCAAAACTCCAATACTTCCAAACTAGTGTTAAACTTTCACAGTAGTAGATATCCATTCTTCTTAAAGAAGACTGAAATGGGAAACTGCTGTTTTTTTTTACAAGGAATGTGCCATCATACCAAGTGATGATTTCCTTTTTCCGGATGTTGATTGGATAATTGGCAACCATTCAGATGAATTAACACCATGGATTCCTGTTGTTGCAGCAAGGTAATTTGTATATTTTTCTTAAAATGGTAATTAATTCAATATTTTAATTATTCATTCATGGGATGAGGGTGTCACTGGCTAGACCAGCATTTATTGCCCATCCCTAGTTGCCCAGAGGGCAGTAAAGAGTCAACCACATTGCAGTGGGTCTGGAGGCACATGTAGGCCAGACCAGGCAAGGGTGGCAGATTTCCTTTCCTAAACAACATCAGTGAACCAGATGGGTTTTTCCTGACGATCGGCAACAGATTCATGGTCATCATTAGACTCTTAATTCCAGATTATTGTTGAATTCAAATTCGACCATCTGCTATGGCGGGATTCAAGCCCATGTCCCCAGAACATTACTTGGGTCTCTGGATTAATAGTCTAGTGATAATACCACTAGGCCATTGCCTACCCATCAGAATGCTGCCTTTCCTTCTAGGAATTTATTTGTATTGTGCTTGTACTTATTCAGTGCAGGCTTCCAATATCCTCATGGTGCAAATTTTTTAAAAAATGTTTATTTGAAATGTACAACAAAATATTGTTCAAAAGTTTCCCTGCCCACCTTTTTTTTTCCATCTCTTCCTTGTTACATAGCAAATTTCCATAGAATCCCTACAGTGTGGAAACAGGCCATTTGGCCCAACAAGTCCACATTGACTCCCCAAAGAGCATCCATCCAGATTCACCCACCCTACCCTATCCCTGTAACCCTGCATTTTGCCCATCGATAATCCACCTAACCCACACATCTCTGGACGCTATGGGCAATTTTGGCATGGCCAATCCACTTAACCTGCACATCTTTGGACTGTGGGAGGAAACCGGAGCAGCCAGTGGAAACCCACACGGACACGGAGAGAATGTGCAAACTCCACACAGACAATCGCCCAAGGCTGGAGTTGAACCTGCGTCCCTGGCGCTATGAAGCAGTTGTGCTAACCACTGAGCCACCGTGTTGCCCCTGTGCCTACACACAAGCATCCATTGATTCAGCACCTTTGTTCCGGCTGTTTTGGATTATATATGTAAACAAAACAATGCTTTAATATCAGCATGTTGAAGCAGAATAAATTGAGAAAGGTTTAATGCAAAACAAAAAGTCAGGGCTGCTGTAATGAATTAAATGAAATGCTGTGTTATTCTTCTATTTAGATTGTCTGTAATTTAGTTGATTGGATACAGGATGTGACTGCAAAATATTTGCTGCTGAAAGGTTCAGGAATTTCATTTTATGCTACAGGTCATCCTATTCGTGCCGCTACTTTGTCCTGCCTTGTTGTTTCTTTGATTTCTATGGAAAGTACTGTCGGAAGCAGACTAAAAGCACACAATACAGAGCATACCTGGATTTCATTACAGAAGTGGGTTCTGCTTGTGGTTTTAAAGTAGAGGAGGATTGCCTTCGGATTCCATCTACAAAACGGGTCAGTGTGAAGCTGTTTTTCATTCTGCAGTATTTTCGCTGGGAATATTTTCCTTGTGTATATATGATGTTTACCAAAACGGTGGTGATACTTCTTTAAACTGTTTCTTCACAAGTTCCTAAATTAGACCTGTTTTGAAACTAAAAACTAAGCTACAACTAAATTTAAAGAATTACAAGAACAAAAAGCTGCAGGGATGTGTAATTGGCTTGCTGTATGGATTCTGATGTAGTATTGTGAATATTCTATATATAGACCTTGAAATAATTCAGTCAGTTGCTCCATCGAAAATGATTCAGCAATGGAATGAACCAGGTCTAAATTAATTAAGTATGCTCAATTTTTAGTATTTGTACAGATCTAGTAGTACAATGTTATTATTGTCTCTAGATAATTGTTTTTACTAATGCAATAAAATTCTCGACTAAAGTCTTGATACTTTTGTTTAACAGATATATTGAAGAATATCATAGTATTAATTTCATGGATTGTTTTGCTACTAGGGCATTCTATAGACTGTACTACTTAGTTATCAGTGAAATTATTCTTCTGAAGGTTTAACAGCAATAGATTTGAGACATAAATGGTATTGATGCATTCTTTCGTCTGTAAAAGTTAGCTGACTTTAGTTTTCAATAAAACAAAGGCTTATAGTAGATGTTGCATGACATGACACAATTATGTAATATCAACTGTCTCAGCAGAAACACAGTTAAAATAAAAAAAAAGGAAAGTTCAGGTTTTGTTTAATTAAGTATGTTGGTGTATCTTGGCTTTTGGAGTTTGAATTTCTGGTTTACATGCTAGGATTTGTTGCTGTACAGGTGGTCCCTACTTTACAAATGTTTGACCTATGAGTGAGATCCTATACAGGACTCTATTAATTTTAAAGATCCAACATTTGACATTTCCTAATACTTAGGAACAGGTATTTTATATTGTCCTGTACTGTTATCAAACTTGTGTACAAATTGACTTGTGAATGTACTCAAAAACAGAACCCTTTTGCAACCCAGGGACTGTCTGTCTTTATTTGCTATAAAATATCAAACAAAATTATGCTAACCTGTAAACAAGTGCTTTCTACGTTTGTAAACTACTTGTCCCCAAGTCTGTTTCTATTTATATTATGCAGATTTTCAGTTTTTAATTTTTTTTTACAAATTTGATATGGAACTCCAATATCGATTTACAGGGAGGAAATTTGCTCAGATACATAACAATACAGACTAAAATGTTCAAATGAGAAAGGTCCAAATGTTTCAGATCAAAACCTTAAACTTAAGACACATTTTCCCAAGGTGTTTAAAGCATTTTGGTACAGGTGCAAACAATAGATTTTATACCATTGTGTACCTTTTTCTTCAAAAAAAACCAAAGAGCTGTGGATGCTGGAAATCGGAAGCAAAATTAGAAATTGCTGGAAAATGCCAGCAGGTCTGGCACAATCTGTAGAGAGAAAGTAGAGTTAATGTTTCGGGTCTAATGGCCATTCCTCAGAACTGCTTGTAGCTAGGAAAAGATTGGCATTTATGCTAGAGAAGGGATGGGAGGAGGGAGACAGTAAACTATAGGTGGAGATGGAGCCCAGATAGAGAGAGGAAACAGTTGGGCAGACAAAAGAATGGGTAAAGTTTACCTCCCCACAACAGCAGCACCACAATGTCCCCAGCATATAAACCAACTTTTCCCACCTACAGTCAGTTCTGAAGAAGTGTCACTGGACTCAATACGTTAACTCTGCTTTCTGTTCACAAATGCTGCCAGACATTGCTGAGTTCTTCCAACAATTTCTTATTTTGTACCTTTTTCTTCACCTGTTTTTGCTTTCACTAATTTGAAACTTGCTTTGTGTGTTATTCAGTGGTGGGGAAAGAAGACAGACTGACTTAATGTATTTTTTCCATTTTTGTTAAAGGTTTGCTTGATTGGTAACCAAAGGACATATTCCCCCTCTTGCGAAAAAAGGTTGGATGAAGAACGAACTCAGTATATTAGGGAGAGATATTCTTATACTGTGTGTGCTGGAGACAGTACAGGTTTTAGTAAGATGAAGGATCCTGTTTCGCCTAATCATGTTACAGATTGTTCAGTTGTTGAAGATGACGTGGTGCAAGATACTTGTGGTGATACAGATTGTTTTGCATCCAACAAGTGGGTGGCTGGATTCCAACCCAGAGAGAAAGTAGAGAAAGTTAGAAACTGTGCTTCTTTGCCTCGAGATTTTGTTGATAATATAGTGCTTCAGGTAGCTAAAGCACTTTTGAAAGTAAACCAGGACAACAATGAACATAATGGTGAAGACAGTGCAAAATGCTGGCGCAAAGGAGGTAAGTCTTTGCATTCTAAAGTACCTATGTCCTTTGCCATTTTGTTTTGGACTATGCTGCTGATCTGTAATGGTACAGTTTAACATTTATTACTACTTTTTTGGACTAAAGGTACAAAATTAGTTTATAGAAATTGTTGTTAACAGGATTTCATTACCAAAATGGCATTTTCCAATTTGCTCAAAGGTGTCTTGATACCGTTCATTTCTAAGCCAAACTTGAGTGTACTAATTGATATGTTGACTTTTGAGGTAATTGCTTTGGTTGTTGAAATAATTACGATATTTTCACCTTGTTAAAAGATGGGGATAGTCTTTAAATAAAATTTGACACTTATTTTGAGTGTGGGGGAGGTCATGAGAGGAGGCAGTTTTATTTAAAGTCTTATGCCCTAGATACAGACAAAAGTACAATCGGCTTTCTTTTAAAACAGAATATTTCACGTAGTGATCGATTCTTTGATCTATTTTCTCCACTAAAAACAAAAGATCTTCACTGTGAGAAATATCAGCTATGTGACATTTAGCAACAATTAGTTACTAAATAACAACTTAATGTGCTTGAAACTGCTGCTGAATCACTGCGACAGAAATGTCCAGCCTTTTCAGCATTGGAATCATTCAGGTTGTAGTTACATTTGCAACTTCATAGTTTTTAAGATGAAGAGTAAGTTCCATCCCACAAAGAAAAAGTAATCAAAGGTATCTGAGAGATTTATTCTGTTAGTAAATATGATTGCAGATTTTCAGTGAATAAATGAAATGACATGATAATGCACAGAACTACAGATTATCTACAGCAGCAGTGTCCAACCTTTTCACAGAGGGACCACATTTCAATTTTTGTCATCCTCAGTGGCAGAATGGGATGAAAATTGAATATATCCAAAAATACTCAAAAGAATTAAATTGGTCATTTAAATGAGTAATTAATAGAAGAGACAATTAAAAGCATGGCTTTATTATTAAAGCCAATCTTTACATAAGAACATAAGAACTAGGAGCAAGAGTAGGCCATCCGGCCCCTCGAGCCTGACCCGCCATTCAGTAAGATCATGGCTGATCTTTTTGAGACTCAGCTCCACTTACCCGTCCGCACACCATATCCCTTAATTCCTTTACTGTTCAAAAACTTACCTAGCCTGCCTTAAACACATTTAGTGAGGTAGCTTCAACCGCTTCACTGGGCAGGGAATTCCACAGATTCATAACCTTTGGGTGAAGAAGTTCCTCCTGACCTCAGTCCTAAATCTGTTTCCCTTTATTTTGAGGCTATGCCCCCTAGTCCTAGTTTCACCTGCTAGTGGAAACAACCTCCCTGCCTCCACCTTATCTGTTCCCTTCATAATCTTATATGTTTCTATAAGATCTCCCCTCATTCTTCTGAATTCCAATGAGTATAATCCCAGCCTACTCAGTCTCTCCTCATAATCCCCAACCCTCTCAACTCTAGAATCAACCGAGTAAATCTCCTCTGCACCCCCTCCAGTGCTAGTATATCCCTTCTCAAGTAAGGAGACCAAAACTGCGCACAGTACTCCAGGTGTGGCCTCACCAGGACTCTATACAGCTGCAACATAGCCTCCCTGTTTTTAAACTCCATCCCTCTAGCAATGACAGACGAAACTCCATTTGCCTTTTTACTTACCTGCTGCACCTACAATCCTACTTTTAGTGATTCATGCACAAGGACACCCAAGTCCCTCTGCACAGCAACATGCTGCAATTTTTTAATATTTAAAACATAGTCCATTTTGCTGTTATTTCTACCAAAATGGATGACCTCTCACTTATCAACTTTGTACTCCATCTGCCAAACCTTTGCCCGCTCACTTAGACTATCTATATCCCTCTGTAGACTTTCAGTGTCTTCTGCACACTTTGCTCTACCACTCATCTTAGTGTCATCTACAAATTTTGACACACCACACTTAGCCCCCAACTCCAAGTCATCTATGTAAATTGTAAACAATTGTGGTCCCAACACTGATCCCTGAGCACACCACTAGCCACTGGCCACCAACCAGAAAAACACCCATTTACCCCTACTCTTTGCTTTCTACTAGTCAACCAATCCTCTATCCATGCCAATACATTACCTGTAATATCGTGCAACTTTATCTTATTGTGGCACCTTGGTTTGGCACCTTGTCAAATGCCTTCTGGAAATCCAGATACACTACATCCACAGGTTCCCCATGTTTTTGGTTCAGATGCAGAACCACAAAGGGAAAAAGAATTGGACCCAATTGATGATCCCCAGGATGGGCTATTAACTGGGACTAAGCTAAGGAATCATTTCAAACAAATGCTGATGTTACGTCGCCTTTTGTGGGGCATATGTCTCAGAGGTGGCAGTCTATGTGAGAACTTCAACATGCACCACCGGGCTGGTTACCTGCTGAGGGAGTCCCTTGAAGCTGCCAATAATTGACAGCGGCTCAATGGGACTGCATCCCCAGCTACCCAGTGCTTTGCGTGCAAGGTCAGAACCAGGACCCCTTCTGGGGGCTAATCAGAAGCAGTTCCTGCCTGCTGCCGCCACCTCATTCACCTGGGATGGTTGTCTCTGACTAGCCAAGAGCAGCTGTTCCACGCTAGTTTGACACATATACTCCTACTTGTCCCTGGTTGCCATGGCCTTCCATGATGCCCCAACAAGAAGCTGACCTTCAGCCAGATCCACCAGTTGTTGGCTCAGAACTTGCCCTTCTATAAGAAGAGCAAGGTGGACTGGCAGAACTCCTCCGCAAACTATCCCCGAACAGCTACTTCAAGTAGTGCCCAGGGACACCACTGATTCCGCAGAGAGACCCCTTACCACCTGTCAAATGCTGCAGATGTTGAAAATCAGAAATGAAATCAAAAGGCCTCCTACTCCCAGAGCTGGCCTGCAGACTCATTGCTTTGGCTTCGGTCATTAGGCAGCTTGCTTGCTAACCAACTGTGATTGGTTCTCTCCTTTGTTCGCTGCTGATTAAGGAATTAAGGAACCTGAAGTCTCTCGAATATACTTCATAATTGTGGATTTATTCATGTTAAAATATTCCTGCACTAAACGAATCTTTGAGTTGATGCACATACTATTGTAAATATAGACATAGTGTTGATTGACTGACACGGCTGTGTGTTGATTTTATACTTGTAAATATGCTCATAACATGCACATATTTAATTCGCACATTCTTTATTACCTTCTACCCATATATCCTGTGAAACCTTCATTGTATGTTCAAGAATGGGAGTTGACAGAGTTGAGTCGTCATATTTCAGTTTCCCACAGGATATGTCAATCCCTTGTGCAGTAACTTAAAACCAAGTTTTAACCAAATTAGAAACAACATGTAACTTTGGTGTCTCGTATAAGGTATTGTTTCATGACCATTTTGGCTATCAATTTTGAAGGCAGGTAATTGAAACACAAGTTTCACTCTATATCCATATGATATAAAGAATAAATCCAATACAGTTCAAAATAACTAACTTATAATGTGTCATCAATCAAAAACCTTGCTTTCACTGTTTGTTGTGACACAAGACCTGATATCTCCAAAAACCTGATTCGAATATAAAGCACAGATATATACTGAGCATCGAGCAGGTGTGGACATGGCATGAACCAGAAAGCAGGAAGAGAATGAATGGTCACAAATCTGATAAGATTGAACCTGATCAATATTTTAATTTTGTTGTCACCCTGGGTAGTCTCTGATCACCTAGGGGTCTGCAGCAGTTTGAGAACATGATTTAGAGCACAGAAGCAAGTTATTTGGTAAAAATTGATCCACAGCCATTGTTGTACTTTACATAAACCTTCAACCATTGATTTCTCATCCTGCCTCATGTATCCATTTTTAATCTAGCCATAAGTGCATCTATGCAATCTGTTTTGTGGAAACAAGTTCTATATTCATCAATCACTGTTATAAAGTTTCTGTTAATCTTTCTAAAATTTTATTAGTATAGAACTTGAATATCGTTAGTAAGAAAGACTTATCGCTGCACATTGTCTTCCTGTCATAAAATTAAAGAGACCTTGGGGTCCAGGTTCATGGTTCCTTGAAAGTGGAGTTGTAGGTAGACAGAGTAGTGAAGAAGGCATTTGATACACTTGCCTATATTGGTAAGTGCACTGAGTATAGGAGCTGGGAGGTTATGTTGTGGCTGTACAGTACATTGGTTAGCCCACTTTTGGAAGACTGTGTTCCATTCTGGTCTCCCTGCTGTAAGAAGGATGTTGGGAAACTTGAAAGGGTTCAGAAAAGATTTACAAGGATGTTGCCAGGATTGGAGGAGGATTGGAGTGTTTGAGCTATAGGGAGAAGTTGAATAGGCTTTCCCTGGACCGTTGAAGGCTGAGGGGTTCATAAAATCATGAGGGGCATGGATAAGGCGAATAGTCAGGGTCTTTTACCCAGGTTAGGGGAGTTCAAAACTAGAGGGCATAGGTTTAAGGTGAGAGAGGAAAGATTTAAAAGGGACCCAAGGGGTAACTTTTACACACAGAGGGTGGTGCTTGTATGGAATGAATTGCCAGAGGAAGTGGTGGAGGCTGGTACAATTACAACATTTAAAAGGCATTTGGATAGGTATATGAATAGGAAGGGTTTAGAGGCAAATAGGACTAGATTAATTTAGGATATCTTGTCGGCATGGACGAGTTGGACCAAAGAGTCTGTGTCCGTGCTGTACATCTCCTTGATTCTAAATGCATGGATGCCAAGTTTCAAATAATCTCAATTTGTATGACAGGAGAAAAGTTGTACTGATTGGCATGCATGTTGACTCTGACTCTGATTGGCAGCACCTCAACCAAGGAGAAAGCAGAGAACCAGACTCCCAAATTGCCGGGTAATTCAAAAAAGGCACAAACGTTGAATATATTTCTTTTGTTTGCAGAGAGTGGTCCTTGCAAATGAATATATTTCACTTCCAGCAAGCGTAAATGAACCATATTGTGAGCTGAATTGATAATCTTAAATTGGGGTAGCTATTTTTACA